AAAACATATATATGAAAGTATGATTTAATTTATATTAAATCTTATATGGAATTCTAATTTAAATTATATATTTTAAAGTAATAGCCTTTACATTTTAGAGGTCTTTGGGTTTATAAAAGAAGTTTAGGTGATAATCTCACTGTGTAGCCCAGACTAAGTTAGAACTCAAAATTCTCTTGCCTCAGCCACCTCAGTGCCTACACTACGGTGTCAGTATCACAGGCATATACCACCAGCTGCAGCTGTTACATTGTTTTAACAGTGAAGTTTCCACAAGGGTGAAAAACAATTTTTTTTCTTTGATATTCTATATAGAAAAGTCATTTAAAACTTTTGAAATTGGTAGACATTAATATAATAGCCATGCTGACTTATTCCTGTAATCTCAGCACTCCTGAGACTGAGACAGAGGAGTTTTCATAGGTTCAATGCCAGTCTGGGCTACATAATGAGTTCCAAGCCAGCCTATGCCTCTGAGTGAGTCCTGTCTCACAAAACAAAATGTAGGTAAATATCCATATCATGTTTTATCTTTGAAAATGTTTATATAAAAGAAAGTTGTTTTACTTTTGTCCAATGAATACTATATGTAAAAATGATGTATTTTAATGCCATTTCTTTTCAACTTATAGCTGTAGACAATGAAACCAGAGACTGTCTTCAGAATATATACAATCTGAATAGTGTGCTGGCAGGAGTGGTTTGTCGGAGCAGCACTTTCAATAATGATTCAGTGTTGTTACAGGTATCTAGATCCTCACAGTATACTGTGATTTATTCCCCTTCTTTTATTTTCAGATCAGAATTGGTAATAGCTTTCATAAACTGTTGTGGTATAGTAAATATGAAATTTTTGTTGCTCTGAGAAAATACTATGACCAAAATGTGTTTGACTTATAGTTCCATAGGAATAAACAGTCCATCATGGCAGGGGAGGCATAGCAGGAGGCAACCAGAGCAGGAATCTGAAAGATCAGATCCTTCACCACATGCCAAAAACAGAGAGCAAACTGGAACAAGACTGTAAGCTCTCAAAGCCTGCCCACTGATGTACTTCCTCTTGTAACATTCCTTGTCCTAGGAGTTTCATAACCTCCCCAAACAGTGTCACCAATCAGGGACCAATTCAAATACTTGAGCCTATTGGGGACATTTCTCATTCAAATCACTATAGTTCATAGTTCTCATTAAGAACTGGTTGGACACACATAAACTATTTAACTATTTCTCAAGAAGGGAACAGATAAACACACCTGTACCATAACTCCCTTAACTTATAAATATTGTAACTAACTAACACAGATAATCTGTATTTTGAAATATAAAATATTCATATTAAAATTATAATTTGGGCTGGTATGTAATCTTAGTCTGTTGAAGCATCCTACAAAATTTAAACCTATGGTTTTAGTTTTAATTAGTTTGAAAGCTTTTATGCCCATGATTTCATTGAATCTAAAATTAGTCAGTTGTAAGAAAGAAAAAGATCAACCAATTATTGACATGCAGCTATAGAGGTAAAATATGTGAGAGAGGTATCTTAAAATTAATTCAACTCTCATTCAAGTTTAATGTGATTAAGGGAACAAGGCAGATGACCATGCTAATCATCCTTGTGTTATAGGTGAGTACTTGGAATAGTTCATTTTATCAGGAAAAAAGGCTTATTTATCTCAGTTTGGGTGGTTCAAGAATGTGCCATCTGTATCAGCTTAATCCTCACAAAGGCTCTTTTGGCTGCAATCATGGTAGATGAGAATGGTGGAAACATGGTCACATGTCAGGAGAGGGACAGGGAGACATATTGGGAACTTGTTCCCTTTATATAATTTGCCTTTCTTGAGAACTACCAACAGGGTGACATGGGAAATACATATCGCTGGTGACCTAGGGACCCCCTTCCAGAGCGTACCTTTCAAAAGGTCTGCTACCTTCTGATAACACTGTCCTGAGGACTAAGACTTTAATCTCAGTGGACCCTTAGGGGACGTAATTAAGCCATGCTCAATCCACAGCACTGAGAATGCTGTGAGATAAAATGTGTCAAAATGTGTAAAATAAGACATGAGTCCTAAGTTTCTTAGTTGTCTCATCATTTTGTGTGTTTTAAAATAAAACTAAACTTGGGAAAGTGCAGAGTTCTTAACCTAGCATTTTCTTCCTAAAATGATGTGCTCAAAATATTTGCAGTATTCAATTTTCATGAACAGACACTATGTTTTCACATGTATATTTTCTTATCCTCAGTGCATCCAACTCTTGCAGAAGTTAACTTATAATGTCAAGATATTCCATTCTGGTGTCAATATAGATGACCTAATTACATTCCTGATTGCTCATATGTAAGTATGCAACAAAACGTAATCAAATAATTTATTGGTTTACTTTTAAGCTAAAACTGTGATAAATCATTTCTTCCTAGGTAATGTTTTCTAATTTTTAAAACATAGATTAATTTTTGCTTCCTCTTCTTAGATGAGTTCAAGAATTGAATATTGCAGTGAAGCTTTAATTTTCATAACTAAAACTCAACAATTTAGAAAGAAAATATTAATGAAGGTGAACATTGCATGTTCTTAGTAAGTGAATACGATGAAATACCACATGGTCACTCTGTCAGTTATTTCCATATTTCTATGATACAGTTGAATAGGATGATTTGGTTTCAAAATGACCCGTGCTATTCAGAATATGATTGTCTTAATCATTTTTACATGTAGGAAGTAATTTAGATGTGTGTTACTCTGTCATTCTAATTTATAATAACCATGCTTTTTGTCTTTACAATAGCCAGTCTTCTGAAAATGAGTTAACAATGCCTTGTCTGGGATTACTGGCAAATCTTTGTCGGCAGAATCTTTCTGTTCAAACACACATAAAGACTTTGGTAAGTAGGGAATTTTTTGTTAGTTTTTTTTCTTTTTAAAAATTTTGTTTTGTGGTAGATTCTGTACTTTAAATCCTACTCATGTTTTTCTTTTTTTCTTTTAGTCCCCCTGTACCCATCCATCCCTGGTATGGAATTTAAGGTCTTGCACATGAAAGGCATTACAGAGTTACATTCCCAAACCCTGTTTTTCTTTAAGAATTTAAGTTAGGACCATCTAGCTGACCTATCAAGGCTAATGTAGAACCAAATTGACATAAATAACATAAGGCATTCTAGTTTCTATGTATATGGAAAAAATGAAGAATTCACACAAATACTAATCTCTGAAGCTTCTTAGCAACCCTATTTTTCATATTGAGTAGTGCAAGAATTGAAAAATTATTCTGTGTTACTAGCAGGCAGGTCTATTACTGACAGCTCTTACTTACCTACCCTTGGGATTCTATACTACCAGTGCCAACTTTTCCTGAAAGATCCGTGAATAAGTGCCTCTCGTTAACAACTAGTACATACTACAAAGGCAAGGCACCCATCAAGGCCAGCAGAGGCTGGCCTCAGTTACTTAGTGAGTAGAGGCCAACGTGGTCTACATGGATCCTGTCATAAAACGCCTAGGGGAAAACAAAAGTAAAGGCACTCAAATGAGGTAACTACTTAGCTATTAGAAGTTAGAAATATATTAAATCCAGAAAGTTCACAGATTCTTTAAGATACTTTATGAATGTTGCACTGCTGTACACTATTCAGAATTACCTGTTTGATATTAAGTGCTATTTTATTCCTCAAGTGCTGGATTTTTATGTCTTGATCTTACTTTGCAGGTAGAACTTATTTTGAGCCATGGGAATGTTAGAAAGGATTTATAGAAAGAAAGCATTCTGTGTATAGTGAAATGAGGGGATATATACAGAGATTTTAATTTCTGAATTGTTTCTAATTCCCATCTAGAAACTATTCTTTACCAAGACCTTCTGTGCTGCTGTCACCAACATGTGAAAGTACCCGTTCCACTTAACCCCTAGAATAGTCTCAACCCTAAATGGTAATTAATAAATAAAGATTTTTAACTCCTGCCTCAACATGTATAACACAAGACCAATTATCTAATTGGCTGAATGTTTTCATTTCACCAAAATTAGGAGAGTTTTTCATTCTTTCATTAGCTTAAATGCTAAAGGCTTGAGACAAGAGTTTAAGGTGGCTCTTTCTCCTTCGTTGTGTCCCTTTTGAATTATTAAAATTGACATTCTCATTTGCTATCTAAATTATTTGTTGTAAGGTGTGGAAGTGTAGAAAATCACCTCTTACCCATTTCTGTACCTTTACAAAAAAAAATATAAATAAATAAATAAGAGAAAAATTTATAACAAGTAGTCTTTGAATTCATATCTATCTTTTTTCTAAACTTTCCCTTTAAAATCTTCATCTTTTAAAGTAAGAATCACTTCTTAAAAGAGTTACAGTAAGTTTCTAATTGTGTCTAATACTTTTTCAGCCAAAATTTAACTTTTTTTATTCTAATTTTCTCCCTCAGAGTAATGTGAAATCCTTTTATCGAACTCTCATAAGCTTCCTAGCACATAGTAGTTTGACTGTGGTTGTGTTTGCACTTTCAATATTATCCAGCTTGACACTAAATGAAGAGGTGGGGGAAAAGGTAATTTTTGTTTATGAAGATCGCTTTGAGTTTATAATTTAAAAATTATTAAGGTGTCAACTTATATTTTTTGTATGTAATTTAATTTTCCTAATTTGTTTTTAAGTTATTCCATGCTCGAAACATTCACCAAACTTTCCAACTAATATTTAATATTCTTATAAATGGTGATGGTACCCTAACAAGAAAGTATTCAGTTGACCTATTCATGGATCTCCTTAAGAATCCTAAAATTGCTGACCATCTTACCAGGTATGACTTGCTTTAGTAAATTTCAAGCTCTTCTTTTTGCTGTTTATTAAAGTAAGATGTGTTATTGATGATTAATACTAGCTTCTTAGATAGTAAGCTTGGATTTAAGTAACTCACAGGTGTATTGAACTAAATTATTTTTTTTTAATTTTCATTGTTTTTACTTTCCTGAACTAATATATATATATATAGAGAGAGAGAGAGAAACTGAGAGAGAGAAACTGAGAGAGAATGTGTGTGTGTGTGTTTCAACTTATGTATTACATCAGTAGGGTTATATTATTTTCTAAAATACAGGCATTTTCAACAGTCTATTTTAAAACTGGTTTTAAGTCTTTAGGAATAATGTAATTCTTTGAAAATGTATTTTTTCATACAAATAATTAGGTCAGTGTATCTATGACTTTTAAGTTTTTTGCTTAGTGTTTCCTTTGGCTCATACCTCTTTTGTGTCATGAAGTCAAATGGAAACATATGTCTTATTTACAGCTGTTTCTTGTGATCGTTTATATTTTGACACTAAGTAGCAATTATTTTCCAAGAGTTCCTGACCTTTTATCATCTTAGGTTAATTTCCCCAGTGGTTAAGTTGCATTAGGATCTTAAATTAGGAAATTGTTGAAATTGCTTTCAAGACAGGAACATGTTTATTGAGAACCTACCATGGCCATGAACAGAGAGATGATGGAGTCTTAGCAGCAGGTGGATGGATGTTAAGCTAATCGCTGATCTTCCAGAAACAAAGTCAAGAAATTAAAAAAAAAACCAAAAACCTAAGGAGTAGGGCAAAATTAACTGCTGTATATAGTTAACTGATATTATACAATACCAAGACACATTCACATTAGCATTTCACTTTTTTTCCTTAACATCTGTTGATAAGACTGTTTTCAGGTGCCTCTCTAGTACATTAAGTATTCCCTTAGTTTCATGGATGAGGGCTTTTTTTTTTTCCTTCCAGAGTATCTTCCCTTTACCAATCTTCTCTTCATTTATCCATTCTGTTAGAAAAACTTTGTAGCAAATTAAAAAATTCTGTTGTATCTGCCTCTCAAGAGGACAGAAAGCTGATCTTGTTTAGTATCACTGTGAGATTACATTGTCCTTTAAATCTTTCGGTTCCATTCTCCCTACCTTGCTTCTACCATATTCTACCTTGCAGAATATATCCGAAGAATTGCTTCCAATGTGGCTACCATTTGTTAAAACCCCAATCTGTTTCAGAGTCTAATAATGATGGGTTCCTAATTGGAGCTTGAGAAAAATCATAAGACTGTATCTGGGCTGGACCTCTTATTTTTTTCTCAGTCAGCTTCCTTTTCGTGGTTCCTAACAATGTCTCTCAACTATATGTTGCTTTCCTCTTGTAGCCTTTCTTGGAAAAGCTGATTTTTACCTTTGTTTCATAGACAGAAAAAACAAAATAGAATTCCACCTGCTTAGAGCTCCCTTCTTTGTACCTAGTCAGACTTGTTTTTCTACACATTCTTGCTTATTGTGTTCATAAGCATATCTTCTTTTAAAATTTTTTTTTCATATGTTATTTTTATTTTATATGTATAAGTGTATTGTCTGCATATAGGGAGATGTACCCACGTCAGTAGATGCCACAAAGGTTAGAAGAGGGTGTCAGCTGCCCTGTGGGTGCTGGGAATTGAACCCGTGGCCTCAACAAGAGCAGCCAGTGCTGTTAACCACTGAGCCACCCACCTCTCTAGCTCCCTCATAAGCATATCTTATTGTGTACAGTAAGTCTCATTTTGTTCTATCTTGATTTCCCTTATCTATTTAGTGCCTTCCATTCAATGGTCTTTTCTAATCTTTATAAATATGCTCAATTTTGACTTTTCCTTCAACCTTATGTACTTTTTATAATCAAGGTAAACATCCAAATCTAAGTCCTGGGCACATTATTTCTCCACCCTCTAGTGCTTGGCAGTGGCTAGAGGTTGCAGTTTCAGATCAGATCACAAGAGTAACCAATTGTGTACTACGTTGCTATACTATGACAGTCAGTACATTGGGTTGTGTTAATTACATTTTCACATACGTAGTTTAAGTTGAAATGTGTACAAAACTGCATCATAAATCAATAATATCTATAAAAATGTAAGACTTTTGAAGATGAAAAAAGGTAAAAGAAATATAGTTAAATTTTATATCTTTATATCTTACAAATCTATTTATTATATCAGTTTTTTGAAGTATTTTGTACATATATGTATACATACATGTGTTTTGATCAAGTCCACTCCTCTTTTTCCACCCTCCAGTTTTTTCCCATTATCATTTAATGTATAATTTTAAACCTAGGTATGAGCACTTTTCTTCATGTCTTAATCAAGTACTAGGTCTTCTAAATGGAAAAGACCCTGATTCTTCATCAAAGGTATGTAAAAACATGACATTTTGTTCTATATTTTTTTTAAAATATTTCTATTTTATGTGTATGAGTGTATTGCCTGCATGTGTTTAAGTGTACCTGTGTCGTGCATTGCCCACAGAGTTCAGAAGAAGGCATTGGATCCACTGCAACTGGAGTTATGGATGGTTATTAGCCTCCATTTGGGTGCTGGGAATCAAACCTGGGTCCTCTGAAAGAGCAACCAATGCTCTTAACTACTGAGCCATCTCTCCAGCCTGTTCTAAACTTTAAACTTTAAATAAACTAAAATTACAGAAAAGCCTAAATGCACTGCTCTCTGAATATTTAGAAACTGAACACATTTGTGTGACCAATATTGAAGTCATGAATGAGGAAATTACAAGTCCTCTGGAATCTTTTCTGTACTGCTTAGTTAGCAACTAGCCTTACTGATGACAACCATTTTAATGACTTTTTAACCACAATTTTTTCCTAATTTTGAATTCATATATGTTAAATCAGATTTTCTTTTTGTATTTCTTAAACATAAAATACCTTTCTTCAACATTAATGTCATGAGACTTCCCCCATATTTCATATAGTTTAAGACCCTTGATGGCTATTGTTTACTGGGAAGACTCTTGTATGTACCATTTTCTAGACAAGTGTTGTCTGGCCAGTGTACCTAGAAGTGGAATCACTGTTTTATAGGTACACATTTGTTCAGTAGGCAGTGTAATATAAGTTTCCAAAGGCTTCAGTCCGGTATATGAAGATTCGATTACTTTGTACTCTTGTCAGTACACTTGATATTTTCCTTCTTTTTCATTTTAGCCATCTTAATGGTTCTATAGTAGCATTACATTATAGTTTAAGGTTATATTTCATTAATGATTGGTAAAATATAATATTTCACATGCTTATTAGCCATTTGTATATCATCTTACTCCTGAACTATTTGAGACTCTTAGTGGAGATATATATATGTACATGTCTTTTTGCAAATATCTTTTTTTTTTCATTTTGAATTTAGGAGTTTTGTGTGTGTGTGTGTGTGTGTGTGTGTGTGTGTGTGTGTGTGTGTGTTTATTGCCTGCTTGTAGGTGAGTGCACCTGTGTCTTGCAGTGTTCACAGAGGTCAGAGAAGGTGTCAGATCTGGAACTGGAGTTAGGACAGTTGTTAGGACATGGGTGCTGGGAACCAAACCCAGGTTCTCTGCAAGAGCAGCTAGTGCTCTTAGCTGTTGAGCCATATCTTCAGCCCCACAAATACCTTTTGTAATAAGTGTTACAATTTCTTAACTTTTACATGTCGATCTATAATCCAGTTGTAATTGATACTTGTTTCTGTTGCAGAATAGGACTTCAGCTGTATTCCAAGCCAGACTTAACTCTAAAAATGTTTTACAGAAGTTTAGTATGGGTTTGAGCTACTTGTTTGAAGCAAAGACTCTAGAAGACAGTAGATAATTTTAAATAGTACAAAGAGTATTCAATAGTGCTTTCATTTTTTTTTCTGTTTAGATCTTTGTTGTTTGTTACTTAGCAGAGTCTGTTCTAGATTATATTATCAGATGAAGATGAAGTTCTCTGACAATATATCTTATATTTTTTTAAACCTCAGAATGTCTAAAATTCCTTTCTCGTAAGCAGTATAAAAACTCTTATCTAAGTGGATCATAATAGTGTGACTAGGACTGTGTAATATAATTGCTTTGTAAGGATTCCTGGAATGAAACAATGTATTAGTTACTTTCTGTTGGTGTGATAAAATACCATGACCAAGGCAGCTTAAAGAAAGTAGCCCTTGGAGCTGGAGAGATGGCTCAGCGGTTAAGAACACTGGTTGTTCTTGCAGAAGACTCGGGTTCAGATCCCAGCACCCACATGGCAGCTAACAACTGTCTGTAACTCCAGTTCCAGGGGATCCGACAGCCTCTTCTGACTTCCGTGGGCATTGTACCACATGGGTGCACTTACCTACATGCAGGCAATATACGCATACACATAAAATAAAAATAAATAAAATTAAAAAAAAAAAAAAAGGAAGCCCTTATAGTCACATGGTTGGGGAGGCATCGCAGAAGGCAGCCAGAGCAAATAACTGACCACTCAAATCTTCGCATATGCCCAGGAATCACAGAGAAACAAACTGGGAAATGGGCAAGGCTATCTACAGAAAATATCATTCATAAGTGTAGTTGCAATCCTAAATAATAACATTAATGCAAAACCAGAGGTATTTTAAAAGAATCATTTCATTAGTCATTAAAAGTATTCTAGGAATACAAAGGTGGTTTCACATTTGAAAAGTAATGTAAATTCTGACATTAACAGAAAAAAACAAAAATAATGTCATTTCATTTAAGAAAGAAAAGCATTTGAAAAGCTTTTATACCCTTTCATGATAAATATTAGCTAAAGTTGGTTTTATGGCACAGGCCTCTAATGAGTACTCTGGAGACAGGCAGGAAGATCTCAATATTTAGGCTTGCCTAGGCTACATAATGAGACATTCAAAAATTTAAAAAATTGGTGTCTTAGTTTGTTCTTCATTGCTGTGACAAAATACTCTGACCAATACCAACTTGGGGAGGAAAGGGTTTATTTGTCTTACATCTCCCAGGTCGCATGCAGTTCATCAGGGAGCCCAAGGTAGGAACTCAGGGCAGGAACCTAGAGGCAGGAGCTGGAGCACAGGCCATGGAGGAATGCTGCTTACTGGCTTGCTCCCCTGGCCCCTACTCAGCCTGCTTTCTTATGCAACACAGGCCCACCTGCCCAGGGGTGGCACCACCCACAGTGGGCTGGGCCCTCCCACATCACTCATCAAGAAGATGCCCCTCAGACATGGCCACAGGCCAGTCCAATAGAGGCAATTTCCAGATTGAGGCTCCCTCAACCCAGGTGTGTCAAGTTGACACTAAAGCTATCCAGCACAATTGGCTAACTAGGAATAATCAGACATTTCCCTCTTAGGGTCACTGCCAGAAAAACTAGTCTGTCATCGTTCTTACTTGCAAACCATGAGAACTTGATATTAAGAATAAAAGAGTACCTCTTAGCAACATACTCTGTCCAAAGGCCAAACTGTCAAATTATTTGGGAGCTCTTATCTAATCCCTAACACATTTTAGGGTTACCTCTTCGGGGGGGAATGTTAAAAGTAGCAAAAAGCCCCATTTGAAAAAAAAGAGAAAAAGAATACATGAAGTTAACTCTCCTGGAAAAAGTGATAGGGAGATATGGGAGAGGTTGGAGGGGAGGGAGTGGCATTGACTTAATCAAAACGCTTTATATGCAAGTATGAAATTCTCAATAATTTTTTTTAAAAGTTAAAAAAAAAGAATAAAAGAGTATGTGTGCTAACCAGCCCAGTGATGCAAACTAAATGAATAAAAGTTTTAGAAGTTGTAAATTATGAAATGAAACTTGCTGTTCAAATAACCTTATTTGAGTATAGAAAACCTAAAATCTATATAGACAAATTAATTGAATTTCTCTAGCAAGGTCCTTGGATATAAGATCAGCTCCTATAAACACATCTTCTGATGACAAAAAGAAAAGTTTTAATATGTCATTTTAATGTCTTTTTAATAAGTTAAGATCTTAGGGCAAAATTCCAACAAAGCCTTCACTATGAAATTATAAAACATTGAGAAAAACATAAGACATATATTTGTAGTTTGTTTACTGGAAAACTTCAGAACATGTAGTCAATTAAAACTCAGCAAATTTTAATTTTTTTTAAAAATCTTTCCCCCCCCCACCCTTTTGGCAGGCTAGGGATTGCAGTGCTATAGCACTTGAGCTAACCTTAGCCCTGATTTTATGGGAGTTGTTGATATTTTAATTATTTAAGACCTTTATTAGCAGGTAGAAACAAGCCTCCAATTTAAAAACTTTAAGGGAAATAATTTTAAATACTTTAAGGATGTATTGAGAAAAACCAGGCTTTTTTTCAAAAATGTGTTTAACATTAGCAAAAAGAGACCTCTTTAGGTAAAAATAATTTTAAAGAACCCATGCTGCATAGACAATGCAGATAGTTCTAGTATGCCTGGTCATTGAACAAAGAGTAAGCATGTATGGTGTTCAGCTCCAGTCTTTTGTTCATTTCTTATTGGTAGACATTGGTATTCATTTCTTCTTGTTGGATGACTAAACTGAATGATGGTAGAGATGGTAAGCTGGCATTTACTCAGCCTTACCCTGCTCCACCTCAAGAGCAGCTGCTTTTGTCGCTTTGCCATGTTATAGTATAGAGTTCCCTGAGCATTTGCATTAGCGGAATTGTGACCTGTAACCCAGATACTTATTTTCACTCTTGCTCTCCTGCACCTGGTTGTCAGTACCCTCTATCACTTCTCGGCACAAGAGCGCTGGAATACTGTGATCAACACCCATAGGGTTTCCACATGTAGCAAGCTTGGAAACTTTGCTTGTGGTAAGGCCTTTGTTCTTGAGCATGGCCTTCAGAAGCATTATCGCAGAACTTTCGTCTTTTCCCATTCTCACTATTCTGGTAATTCTTCTGGTAATTACATGGAGGACCCCTATGACATGAATAGCATCTATAATGGTTTTAATCTGCTGCCTTAGTACATGTATTGAACTGAAATTCCACCAGGGTCTGTAACATTTGCTGTCTCTGCACCCTTTTCTTCTTCAGAAACATCATATGCCACAGTTTCTCTGTCTCCTACATTGTGAAGGTACTTCCTAGGGTTATTCTTCCTTCTGGCAGTCTGGTGTACAAAAACATCTTTCTTGGTATCATTTCCATTGAAACAATATCCATTTCTTACATTGAACCATTTGATTGTTCTCAAAACCTTCCTTTTGATCGTCTTTTTGTTCCCACTGGCAGGCCCCATCAATGTGAAGCCACCCCAGTGCTGCCTGTACTGTCTGACTTGCTGACACTGAGGGCAGGTCCTGGGTCTTCTGGCCTCCCTGCTTATGGTTGCAGTGATAGTGACTGGCACCAGTGGCTGCTATATCCCGGGCTCCTCCCTGGATGT